AGCTGACACCTGAAGGAGGCTTTCTTTAGCAGTCCATTGGATAGTTGAGGGTTTGAAGGGATTTTCCAGGGCGGCCGTGGGGAGTTGCCTGATGTAGTTCCTTTGATCTTTTTGCTTTGTTATCTTATTATGAATGGTTGGATTTGGCTTCTTGAGTCCTTGCAATGTATGTTGTGTCGGAGTCCTTTGGATGCTCGATTTCGGTTTGGTTGGTTCGATTTCTCCTATCGCTAGACTGTAAAGCTTGGTCTGAACATGGCACAACTGCAACATGGCACAGCGTCATACCCCCAACCCCAGCTTTCCAAGGCGTGGAATTCAGCTAAGTCTAGACCCCAAAGCCTACAACCCAAATCAAGACACCCTAAACCCTGCAAGCTCCAATCCCGTAAGCCAGAAATTCCAAACCCCTAGATCCAAAACCCTGATCCACAAACCCTAAACCTAAGCCCCGGGGTCATGTTATGCATGGCAATCCTAGTAGCAGAGTAGACAGGTTTTTACCTTTTTTAGGGGTGCTATAGCCTTGAAACAATCACAAAGGTTAACATTCAGTAAGTAAGGTAACAATGCACCATCCTCGAGTGCAAGCAGTCGTGGCAGGTCGACCTGGCCCTCCGCGCAGAGCAACTCGGAGGTGCGGCAACAAAAACTGCTGGGAGTTGTGCCTCTACAGCTTCGGATTCAGGTTTTTTCGGGGGTCACGGTTCTTTAGGGTTTAGGGATGTTGAGGACTTGGCTCTTGGTTGTAGGGTTCGTGGTTTGTGGCTCAGCTAGGGTTCAGAGTTGAGGGAGGTCTTCATCGATGGTGATGGTGGTGATGAGGACGACCACCATGGTCACGTGGTGCTGCCTTTCCTTCTTCGTCTGGTATTGCTAGTGCCGTCCTGTTACGGGCCATTCGCTGCTACTGCTGCATGGCCAAACACCCAAAAACTGAAGGCATGACAAATCATGTCGGGTCAAACCTTGAGCCCGAAACCTGAATCATGAATGTGGGGTCGAGATGGAGAGAAGCTCCCCACCCAGGAAATGCCCTGGGCACAGCTTGGCAGGCACGGGCGGCAGACGGAGAGCCTTTTGATGTTCGCAAGGGTGGAGTTAAGGGTTTAGGGTTCGACGGCGCTTGGCAGAACAACTTTACCGCTTTGTTTAGCACCATCTTCCAGACGAAAAAGCTTTTTCAAACCGTTAAAGATGGAAAGGGGCAATGCCGTGGACGAAAGACCCGGCCCTGGACTGCAACATGTCGGGTTCTGACTTACAGCAACCAGGAAGGAGCACGCGTTTTTATGCTTAATCCGGCAAGTCTGGCACATGTCGGTTGTGGCCATTGCGCTGAGAGTCGGAAGCGCCAGTGCGAGCGAAGTCATCTGTGGACTGATGCGAAGCATAAAGAGGCATGGGGATCCCTCCTACATGTCAGAGGATGTGTATTGTAAAGAAACTGGAACGCCAATTCTCTATGGATTGACCCTCCGACAGCAACAGATGCTACCTTGATGACGGACTGAATTGCTAGACATATTGTGCTTGCTTCCTCGCAAAGGGTTTTTCACTGTTCTATGTCAAGAGCACCGCAGCCACAGCTCACCAGAGCCTCAGCATGTCTTGTGCATTAGACTCATTCGACTGTGTACTACTGTGAAGTAGCTACTGTAGTGCATTTCCAACCGTCAGGGGCGCACCTTCTTCTTGCAGCTGTGGAGTCCGGACGCCTCAGTCGCCTCTGGCCTGCATCTTTTTTTTCGGGTTGAGGGGGCTGGGGGCCGGGGCCGGGGCGGTGTTGAGATAAAGATTCTTGGGACGTATCTGTTTTCATGTACCTTTCTATCTCTAGTTAGAGACATCCAAAACCATGCTTGTGTAAGACTGCGCAAAGTGAATGGAAAGACATGCTGCAGCTACATCTAAGGCACCACCTGTGCTTGCAGCAGGTCCTTCAGAAGGGGGAGGCAGAAAGCACAGTGGCAACCCAGCAAATGCTTGATGTGCTAGAAATGCTTGGGTTACGTAAAGCCCAGGACAGCTTTCGATAGTAGCGAGCGCTGCTTTGCTTCCGGAGAGGCCTCGCGGTTCTGCAGCAGACAAACGAGGCGGCTTGCAACTGTTCGCAGGGCTCCCTTTTCATGGTGTCCTGGTATTTGACTATGGCATCCGCAATCTGTCTCTCATACAAATTCCGGATGTATAGATCCAAGGAGTGTGATCGTGGCCCCTGAAACCTTGGTCGTGCTGGTCTTCAGGCACACAGCCCAGCTCCGCGCCAGGTAGCCGCCGGTGGAGGACCGGACTTGTGGATTCCAAGCTCTCGCGATCTTGAACCCACAGTGCAGCAGTTGACCGCCGCAAAACGGAACAAACATGTGCACTTAAAGGAATGTTCCTTCTACTCGTGCCATCTGTATTGGGCTCGTCGGGGAGGTCGATTCATGCGTGGTCGTGGCGTAGTGTCCTGTTTCGTGTACCAGTAGATCCGATGTGCAGGTGCACTGAATTCGGATTCAGGCTTAGCCTTCCTTCACTCCACAGCCGACGATGCTCGCCTCCAACGGCAGTCGTTGAGAGCATTTGTGTTAGGGCAGGGTTGCGGGTGTCCTCACGCCACGGCCCACAGGAAGGGGTCAAGTCCGGCCCAGCCAGTCTGGGTGATACCCAGCCATGCACCAGTGCCGGATCTACAAGTACAAAGACACACTCGTCATGACAGACGAACTGCAGTGCGGTCGGATCAACAGCCGCATGGGCCAACTGTTCGGTAAAGGGCGCGAGTTCGGGCATGCTGCGGACTCATGGCATGCGGTTGCCTTTGAACTCTGGTTGATCGGTGGGACCGCGTGCACGGTGTACGCTGAACCATCAAGAGATTGAGTTGAGTGCATGGGTCGCCTCGCTCAGTGCATGCAAGCTTCTTTGCGTGTTTCAGCAGTCACTCGAAACAGGAGTCGGTAACCTAATCCATCCAGCATCTCTGCAAGGAAGCAACAGGCATTAGGACGTTTGGCATCGTCGTGAGCTCGGTTTTCGCATATCGCTTTGCCAGCTTGGTTCGTGAAGGCCTCCTGGTCGCTCCAGCGGCTGCAAGCATGGCGAAGGCACCCTGCCTCGTCTTGGGTGAAATATTGCCATCTGGTGCTTGCGCAATGCTTTGGAGTTGAATACTTGGTTCAGACTCTGCACGCTGTCCTCCGATTTCGGGTCGGAGTTTCTTTTTGGACCACGCAGGCTTCTGCATCGGCACCACACCAGGCATCCCCGGTCATTGCAGCAGCTCCGGCAGCGGGCGGAGGCAAGAGTAAGGTGGTACCATGTTGCCAACGAGACTGCCCAGCACCTTCAGATGCAGCATGTGCAACCCCGTTGTGGACGTTGAAGCGCATGAACCCTTAAAGCTGCATCCCCCCAGCAAGAAACTCTCTAACCCACCGTACAGAATGCGTATGACTGCTTAGGCAGGATTCTTGGTCTTAAAGATCCAGCTGTAATATTCTACAAGACGCTGTAATGGTTTTTGAAGTCTTATCAATCCTTAATGAAGGAGTTCCTTGTTATATTACAGGCGTATACGTCCCTTATGGACCCAGAAGCTCCTTGATTTAGACAAGCGCTAGAGCCCCGTAGAACCCCCTCGAACCCCTCAACAGTTTAAAACGTTTAAAACGGAGTCCTCCTCGTTATGCACGGTTAAAAGGCAGTGAGTCCCGTACTTTAAAGACCCCCGCTGTGCAAGATCATTGTAAAGGCGTTATGAACACGCCTGTTGCATTAAGATCCCTCTTTACGAGCCCTAAACTGTGCGGAGAGGCCTCAGCGCTGCGAACGTGCAGGCTGCAAGCACGGAGAAGGTGGCCGGTTCCGAATCTTAGGGGTTTTGTTTGAGGGTTTCATGCCATGGTGAGCAAGGGCGACCACAGGTCTTGCGGACGTCCTTGAGACATTGGCGAAGTCGCCGAAATGATTTTGCTAGCGACTTGAGTAACATCATCATGACACGAGGCCAGTGTCTTCCGTTTCCAAAAGACCTACTTCCAGATCCAAAGTGCGGAACTGTCGCACCATCCGTGTTGTGTGGCCAGTGGGACCCTTCCCTCAAGATCTCCAGGAGCATACCGCGGAGGATGTGCCCAGCTGGAAGCGAGGCGTGCCGCTGCAACTTCGGGAGGATAATGCCACTGGGCCGGAGATTCGAAGGATGCAGGGCCTAGAGATGGGAGCTGTAGAAGCTCATGGTGACAAGTAGGAGGTCGCGTGTGTAGCTAAGTAGGCTGACAAGAGTGTGTTTACGGAGGATCCTGGGCTTCTGCGTTAGAGGACCCTTTTGGTCCGTGCGGGGCTCTGAAACTTCAATCTTCATCTAGCCACAACAGCTCCGAACGTCTTCAAAATGATGGCAACCGCGGAAGCCAAGACTGCCTGTCTGTCTGTGTGTCTCTCTGTCTCTGTGTGTGTGTGTGAGAGCAATGGCGAAGCAGCTGTGAACACCGGAGGCTTTAGCAATAGCCGTACGAGTCGTGTGGTGCTGGCCGTGGCAGCAATACTTTGGCAGTCGTCGCCGCCGCCGCTGTCGTACTTGCCGTCGTCGTTGTAGCTTTAGTAGTGGTAGTAGTAGTTGTTTCGTGGTCCTTCACGCCCTCGTCGTCGTTAGACTGGTTAGCAGTTGTCGCCGTAGCCATCGTCATTGTCGTCATCGCTGTCGTCGCAGCTGCCACAGCGGCAGTTAGATCGGCATCACATCAGAAGCCAGCAGTAGCAATGAGAGCAACAGGAATGGTTGGGTAAGGGTCGCAATCAAGGACCAGCAAGTGCCAGTAACAATAGGAGTGAACAGCAACAGCCAGTCTTAGCCAGCTAAGAGTTAAAGCCATTGACGGTAATTTCATGTAATAACAGTTGAGGAAGGACCTTGTCGAGTCTAAGTAGCAGTTCGCAAGATGCCATGTGGTTCGTAGACGTGGAAGTTGTTCCCCCAAGCCCGACATGCTGTTCCCCGTTCAGCCGAGGTGGTCATCAATAACCTTGGGGGTAAAGGGCCATCGCGGCAAATGAAGGCGGAGGCCCGGGGACTCGTCAATCTTCCAAGACACGCTTGAAAGACATCTTGAAGATGGGGTATTCTTCTTGCATCTGGGTGTGAAGAAATATGAAGTCTCTCAGAAGTCAAAGGAGCCCAGAGCTCGCCGAGCTTCGGTAGCAGCTGGATAGACATTCGCTTGCGTAAACTGGTGCGGGTGTTTTCGGAGGTGTTCGTTGCCTCGATACTAGCAACCAACATCGTCCTTGAGCGACCAAGTGAAATTTAATCAAGCACCATACCTTTTCGTGACTCTTGCATCTCAGTCGCAGTGTTGTGGCGTCCTTTTTGGGACAGCATGAAGCTTCACGCTGATAGTACAAGGGTCGGAACAATCGGTTGCCCCCCCCCCCCCCCCATTGTCCTGATACATTTATGCCACAGTATACGTAACAGCCCTATTCTAATTCTGAAGGCACCGATGGTAGAGGCCTGGATCTTGCCAGTTCCTGGATACCGCTCCTGCCTATAAGCAAAAACCACTTGCTAACTCGTGCCCTAGGCCCTCCGAAGCTAATATCCCTACAGACGCTTCAGCTTCCCAGGAGATCCGGTATGTGAATGTTTGCAGCTACCATGGTCATTCCGTTGACCTGGTGCGCGGAGCCGGGGAATGGGAGCTACGAGAAGCAGCCTGAATAGCTACTGCACCCAAAGAATCCCCAGAGTCCCTAATTGTATTTATAGTATTATGGGTACCCAAAATCTTGTTTTAACTGTTAAGGCCCCTCTATGGGGCTTTTGGAGCGGAGACTGAGGCTTGCCTAAGTCAGTGTTGCAGCGCTTATTCTATGACCCTTGCCCCCTGTCCTGTTATTGCTCTTCGTTCTATGCAATCTACCCGGGACTGTAACGTTGGCCGCATTCACTGAAGGGCCGAACTTGTTTGGGCACATTCTTCCATAGTTCTATCGAGCAGACAGCGGAGAAGTGAAACCAATTCCTACCGCTCCTTTATCAGAGCCCGCTTTCGCACTCTACTCTTACTCTGCGTGCATACACAACCAGAGAGCCCAAGTGTCGGAGTGGCCCAGGAAGCCTCCTTTGAGACATATCGGGGTTTCAGAAAACTAGAGGTCTCTGTTCAGGGTCCTTATATAAGAATCCTTTTGTTCGGATTCTACATCAGCGTTCCTTCATTTTCCGAAGAAGCCCTCAAAATCTGTAGCTGGTGCAGGTGATCCAAACACCGGGGAATTACACTCCCGGCGACTCCTCCCTGAACGCCCTGGCTGGAGCAGCCTGGCAAGTCGATCCGCTTGGGTGATTGGAAGTTCAAGGGTTTCGGGTGTAGGCATGGTTCAGCGTAACAAGGCTGATACAGGGCACCCTTTTTTTCAAGTGCGGGGGTGGGGGCGATCTCCTCCGCGCGTAGTTTTACTGTCACAGATCAAGCGCTTTTGTTTCCATGATTTGCCAACATGTCTCAGAAGATTCTGAAGCGAGTGCGTCCTACTGTTCGCCACTGTTTCACATCTTCCTTGGATTCAGGTCTCAGTTCTTGCCAATGGGCACGAGCCTCCCAAGTTTTTCCATCATCCGCTAGACTTCTACAGGAGCCCAACCTGATTAGATAGAAATAGCAGCATTCGAACTGTTCTTGTGTAAACACCTGCATGACTGTAGTATTGCCCGCCCAACCCCTGTTCGACTGTTCGAATTAGGCCAAGGCCTCTCCAGTACTCACGCATAAGCTGCCTCATTTGTCTCCAACCCTCCAAGAGCAGTAGGTTTGCATGCCGTTTCACATCTGCATGAAAATCATGCGCACCTCATCCACAAACTTCGCCTGAAGCTGTAGAGGTGATCGCCACTCCGGCCACATCTGTGCCATCCAACCTCCATGTCGTTTCTCTGCGGCCCTCGACCGCCCCCCATTGCCGGCCTTTTTTTCTGTGGCCGAGGATCGGCCTGCAGCTGCCGTGAACGATTCTTGGACTGCCATTTTCTTGACTGTTAAAAGGAGTGACTTTCCCGTTCACCTTTGCTGTGATTTCCTGCGTCACATGTACTGTAATGGCCACTGAGGTGGCCAGCGGACACTCTGCGGAGGCGTGATTCGGGTTTCGCCCCATTCGGCGGGCTCAGAACCGGTGTGCGATTCGTGCAGGTCGGTTTTCTTGGCGGTACAGCTTCAGTTCGGATCGAGAGATTCCGAGTTCAAGCTGCAGCTGCTCAGCACACGAAGCAGAAGTGAGTAAGGAACTCCCAGCTCTTAGCTGCCAGACTCGAACTCTATGAGGTGCCTCGGGGTTTTCAATTTATGTTTGTTTTTGTTGTTGGGGCCGGTGTCTCCTACAAAAGATCAACATACCTTTTTTCTGCTTCTTCGGGGCCAGCGCTCCGTTGTGAAGCTTGAACACGTCGGTTCATGGCGTCGTCCCCTCGATAGGAAAGCTTTGAGTTTCAATCGGGCAGGACCGACTACAGGAAACTAGACTTTCCGTCCAAACGCACAAAGTGGCCTCTGGTCTGAAATTCCTGAAAGCCTTTCGTCAGGTGACGCTGCAGCTCGTCTCGACCACTTGGGGCAGCGAGGTGCCTCGGGGCAGTTCTGATCATGGTCCCACTGACCACTGGCTCTTCCCGGACAAGTTTTCTGTTTGTGTGCTGAGATTCAGGCTTGATGTCATGGGGACAGAAACGCAAGCCGAAGGAGTGCAGTGAGTGTACTGCAGGCAATCTTTTCTTTTAGCAATGGTCAACCCTTGCCAATTGCCAAGTCCTAGCGAGGAATTGATTGTTTTGCAATCGATTCTTTTTGCAACAGACGCAGCCCCTCATCTTTGCACGACTCTGACCCTGTCTTGTCTTTCATGCTGCCCCATGCGTGCCCAGGGCATGCGGGAGAGGCCAGTTGTACTGCCCCACCTCTTTGTCACCGTCTTTGATGCAGAGGCTTGGTTCGGTATGCGTGCTTCTCAAAGGCGTCTTTCGGTGTTGCGGAGAAACCGGGATCAGAGCATGTTTGCGAATTGCCAGGTGGGCCTTGTCACCGTCTGTCTATTTTTTCCGTGCGGCCAGTCCATTGGCTGTTGGCTCTGGGTGCCTGAGACGGAAGACGGACAACCCCCTGCATCACAACACCACACTTACAACCCTACTGCATACAGGACGCTCATCAATCAAACCGCTACTGATCAATTCCAGTATGCACCCGAGCTTGAGCGCAGACGCAAGGATCTCCCGTTCAATTGCTTGCCTTCGTCGGTTCTCGAATGCCTTGAGGTCTAGTCGTGCTTCTTTTAAACCTTCGCTCAAGCCTGAATTCTAATTCAACCGAGAACCCTGAAGACGAACCCCGGAAGCGGGCAGTGACGAGCCTCGGTCTGTGGTGGGAGCCTGCGGCTCGTTGGAGACTCTTCCCCCGCTTCCTCGAACGTTTCACTCAGAATCGTAACACTTGCAGTCTCCATAGAAGTAGATTCTTGTGCTAGCGCCAGTCGTCGCAGGGGGAGTGGATCCGTGGGATCTAGCCAGCAAATGCCTGAGCTCGGAGTTTCAGCCGGTGTGCTTGTTCCCAGGGCTCAAGCCCGGGTCATCCGGAAGCAGCAGTCAACAAACTCGCTCTCACGTGGTCTGAACCTGGGGACCGCCAGGAGCCTTCCCCCGAGATCTCTGCGCGCGGGGAGGTCGTAGTGCGGGGCTATCAGGCGCAGAGAGACACCTGCGAGTCAAGGAGAAGAATGATACTGAGTAATGGTCATAGTCGGGGCGATAAGAATAGCAGCTATGAGAAGATTGTTTCAGGTAACGGCAAGACAAGCAGCAAAGGCTCCAACATTTGGTGTTTTTTTTGCGGAGCATTCAAGTTTTCAGCATGCCCATACCGTCTCCAAGATAGAAGACAGGCATCCATCCATCCATCCATGCATACATACATACATGCAATACACACAGACATAGACAAATGTATGCTCAACTGTCATCAGCTCAATGCCATGTTTGTAACAGTTCCAATTCTGACTGGTATAGCGGTAGAACTTTTGCTTTTGCCGCATTCTGCTGCCAGTTAGGTTCGTAGTTAGGGCAGCCTCGCTAGTACGTATGTCAGCATCCAACCGGGTTTGAGGAAGTTATAGGGTTACCAATATAGGGATACAGATAGGGTTACCGGGTTTAGGTCTTGTGGCTCAGATTCTGCTCCACAATCCTAACCATGTGGAAGGAAACGATTATGACTGACAGGCACTGCTTTGGCACAACCGAAGCAAATCCTGGGACCGCGGTGGTGGACAGGCAGAGTTGCCCTTCTTGCCCAGGGCATCTTATATAATTGAAAGGACGGGCTGGAGAAGTTGGCCAAGAGATGAAGTGGGTAGGCAGAGTCTTAACACAGAAGATGTCCTTACCATCCGTGCACAGGTGCTTCCGCGCGGACGAGCGCCGGTGGTGGCCTACTCGCATGCATCGGAGGCATGTCACTTAAGCGAGGGTCACGCCGGAATTTGAAGATTGAATGTTGGGCTTTCGCGGAGTGTTTTGTGAAGCCACTCTTTCTGGAATCTTCTGATCTTGTGGTGCTCAGGGAAAGGAAAAGCAATTGGAAATGATGCGTGGAACATTGGCATCTGACGCTCTCCTACTTAGAAGCATGCATGCCTCCCTCGTCAAGTCTCATTGTTTCATGGGTCTCAGATGGCAAAGTCGAGACCCCAAGCATCCCCAAGCAACCTGTGAAAGACCTGAAGCCTCAAGTAAATCTCTTCGAAGAACCGAGACATCCTTGCTACGTTTCATCTCGCATGGAGACATCCGGAGAGCCCAGACGAGCGGCACTGGCAAAGATCCCATGTTGCCAGGTGACCTTGAAGCTCACGGCTGTGGCACGCCAAGGTGTGCTAGAGGGAAAGATGAGGTTGAAGAGCACAGCAACTGCTAGCCACAGTATTTGCGCTCAAGAAGCTTCAAAAAGCAATGCACCTCGTAGCAGAAACTGAAGTTGGAGCGAACGAAATTGCAGGGCCTCAACTTTCACGAGCCTTTGACGAGTCTGGAACTCTGGAACTCTGGAACAGTATAGGGCGACGAAGGATACTGACCCTCTGTCAGTCTATGCTGCGATCCATGCTCAGCAAAGCATGCGCAAGATGCTTTCTACCTCGGCCTCTGCACTCAAACACCCCCCCCTACCCGGCCCGTTGTCCATCTCTTGGATTTGGGAAATCTCGTGGTCTCCTGGCAGGAAGCGTCATGGGGGCCGCTTGGACCGGCCGGACGCTCCTTGGTTTCAAGCGATTCCGAGCCCCCCTCCACTCTTTTGGGTTGTGTTGCGCGGAATCCTTCAGGGTGTGTGCGTGTATGTAGACATAAACAAAATGTATGGATATAGATGAGATGGGCATGGATATATTAGACATATTGATACAGATGTTAGGTCTAGACTAGGTCTAGATACAGATGTAGATATAGCATAGATAAAGACAGCTATGGAGAGTATACTTAGCGACAGAAAGAACAATATTATAATAATAGTATTTATAGTCGTAGTAGTATTATAATATTGGCAATAATAGCCGTATTAGTAGAAGTGAAAGTCATAGTATTCGTACTAACCATAGCAATAGTATCAGTGATGGTGGTGATGGTGGTGGTGGTGGTGGTGGTAGTAGTAGCAGCAGCAGGAGTCTAGAAGAAGAGGAAGTAATAGTACTACTACTGGTAGCTGTAGCAGTAGTGGCTGTAGCAGGCGTCGTCGTCGTCGTCGTCGTCGTCGTTGTCGTTAAGTCGTAGTAGTCGGAGTCGTAATCATAGTCGCAGTCGTAGTCGCAGTGGCAGTCGCGGTCGCAGTCGTAGACGTCGTCTTAGTCCTCGTAGTCGTCGACGTCTTCGTCGTCGTAGTAGCAATGGTACTGGTAATGGTGGTCGGAATCGTAATGGCAACCGTAATCGTAATCGTAAGAGCAAACGCCAGAGTCATGGTGGTGGTGGTGGTTGTGGTGGTGGTGGTAGTGGTGGTAGTAGTGGTGCCGGTTGTAGTGGTAGTGGTAGTGGTAGTGGTAGTGGTAGTGGTAGTGGTAGCGGTGGTGGACCAATATTACTAGCACTCGCAATGGTAACCGTAAGATGCAGAGCCAGAGTCAGAGTCAGAGTCAGCGTCAGAGTCATAGTCATAGCAGAAACAAAGCTGACAACTATAATGACGAAGATAACACTGACGCCGTTGTTTCGGGTTCAGCCACCTGGAGCTGCGCCCTCCCAATACTAAAACACATCCGTCTGTTGGTTCAGGACAGGTAAAGGGCCTGTTCTGCTCCGGTTGCTGCA